ATCTCTTCAGTTTGAGTGACCCGTCCCCTCTGCACATGGAGGACCGCGCACTTGTCTATTCCGAGCGCCATCCTAATAGAGCTGCTATAATCGTTTACGATATTTAGCAGCTCCGTCAGGCGTTCGACGCTCGGAGCTAGCAGTTTCAAGTCATCCATGTACAGAAGGTGAGACACTCGTGTACCTCCTCTCCGATACTGAAATCCAGTCCCCGAATTCTCCAGTAAAGTACTGAGTGGATTCAGGGACAGGCAAAACCAAAGTGGACTCAAACAATCGCCCTGGAATATTCCCCTCTTTATCTCTATCCGGTCAGCGGTATCCGTCAATCGCTCGCCCTGGATAGTCAGGATCGTCGTCCACTGCCCCATGCATGCCTCCAAGAACACTCGAACTGTACCGTCGATCTTGTACAGCTCGAGTATCCTCCGGAGCCATAAATGGGGCACGGAATCGAACGCCTTTTTATAATCTATCCAGGCGGCGGAGAAATTCCGACGGTTCCGCTTGACCACGTGGCCAGCGACAGCATCAATGAGGAGCAGCTCCTTCGATCCGCGGCTACCGCCCCTGCATCCGTTCTGAGCGCTAGATAGGATCTTATTCTCGTACACATGACGAGAGATCTTAGCGCTCAGAACGGATGTTAACGTCTTATATATTGTCGTAAGACAAGTGATGGGGCGATATTTAGATGGATCCGCGGTATCGTCCGTCTTAGGAGCTAAATGAGTGATCCCGGTTGTAAGGAAGTTCGGGAGCGTCCTGTTTTCGAGGGCACTCTGGAATTGCACGGCTAAGGTCGCATGGCTGGCCGAGAACGCCTTTAACCAGTAGTGCTGCAATCCGTCGATTCCCGGACTTTTCCAGTTCGGAGCCCGACGGATCGCGGAAACCACGTCTTCCTCCGTAATGGCAATGGCGTTCATCGGCGTTATTCGAGCACATGCTTCCTCAACATCGTGCATCCATGCGCCCTCCTCATGTTCCACAGGTTCAGACCACAGCTGTCTCCAGAAGGCGACGAAATTGGCTGTTTCGGGTCTTTGTCCTGTGGGCTGTAGTTTTGGGCGCTCCAAGTTCCTATAAAACTTCCGTTGATCACTCATAAAGAGGCGATTCTGTTGATACCTCTCAACCCTCTCAGAGTACCGTCGGAGTCGCTTCCCCCATGCAGCGATCTTCTGCTTCAGTTCATCTATGCGCTCCGTAAGTTTGTGCCCGAAGTCCGGCTGGAACAGACGTACACCTGTCCCAGCAAAGGCCTCTTTTACGGAGCGCATAATTCTCGGGCGTGTGTTGCCCTCCCTGAAGCAGAGCAGTCTACCAATGAGGACTCTGGCCTGGGCGATCCGTCGTTCAATCCTTCTTTTCCAGGCTGGTTTCATATTATCCCTTTGGATATTACGTCCAGCCCGGGGCATTTTTGCGCCGGTATATCGGCATACTGCCAACGCAGCGCCAAACAGGATTGAACTCGTCTCTCCCAGGTCACCGCTGCCCTCAAGGTACTGAGGCAGCAGTCCATTTGTGGCCTCAATGGCATCCCGCGTCGCCACATTTAGATATATCCGGGGAAGCTTCGGTCTCTCTTCGAGGGGAGTTCTTCGGATCTCTAGAATCGCCTCGTCTAGTATGCTCCTCATATGCTCTATATCCTGGGAAGTTGTTCCGTCCGCATCCGCTTCTGAAAGCGTTTCGGCAACCACCTCTACGCTAGGTAGCACGTTTGAGATGGGTTGCTCTACGGTCGCGGAGTTTGCTTCTGGAACAACTTCACTTCGCAATCGTTCGAGTTCGGTCGCGCTAAACATACCAGAGCGCTGTATGTACCGAACTCTGTCGGCTAGGTTCTGTTCCGAGACGGTTAGATCCGGTAAAAGACGCAGAAACTCGCGGTGCATTACTGCCCGGTATCCTGTTCTGCCTGTTTCTGTCCCTGTAGCCCTGAAGAACGCACGTATGAGGTCCTCATTCATGGCTCTTGTCCACCTCATACGACGTGTACCACCAGTGGCGGGCACCGATTGCTGGGCCTGTGACGGCCCTGCCGGCGCCAAGCCAGCTGATGTCGATGGCGAGGGGTCGGACCGGCCAGGTGGTGGGGCCGGTCGGCTGGCTCGCATTCTGCCGCGCCTACCGCCAGTTGTAGACGCGTCCCGGCGACCCCCGGGCAGCGACCCTATACTGTCTCCATTATAATTATTCACCATCTTTATTTTTGCCATTGCCCCTTTAGCCGCGTAGGTTTTATTTATACGCGTGACCGCCTTCCACGTGAGCTAGATGGTGAGCTCGGACGCGGGGTTGGACTTTGGAAGGCAAATTATATTATTATTATTATTATTATAAAATATTTCGCAAGCGCAAGTAAACTCAATACAAAAAGACAGACACGTTGCGCTCCGCAAAAAGATGGCGAGCTCAATCGTGGCAACATATCGATAAACGATGTGTTTTTGTTAAATTCTAAGAACAAGGAATTACATAGAAGGAATGATAAAAATTGTAAATCATATGGTTACCTCCTTTCTTCTTATGCAAATATAATTAGTAAAAAGAGGACGAAAGATACACCATCAGTTGCTATTTTTCTCAATTCATAGCAGGTTAGTGTATAGAAAATGTTTGATATGTCAATTATTTGTCAATGACAAATTTTACATTACTAGATTATATATTGTACACAGTTTATGTAGAAAGTATGCAAGCAGGTTGTATCTGAATTTGGTAGGGTTATACCTGTTGATTTTTTTTTTTTTAGTACGTTTATTCCGTTTGGAACAGGCTAATATACCTGTTGAGTTTAATTGTTTTGTGTCTCCAGCCTCCACAATTATTATTTTTAATAATTGCAACATTAGGCACAGACAACGAAAGAGTAGTTACGGTAGAGTAGGCGAGAGGGCGCTGCAATGATTGTCTTTGGTGTGTGTGAAAAATGTAAGATATATGGCTAAGGAAATTGTTGTAATAAATAAATATAATAAAAGTATAAGTGGATTTAAATACGTGTTTTTTATTGCTTGGCGCAGGTGCTCATGCTTCATTATATCATGTATAAATAAAAATATCAATAATACGGCCGTATAATATTTTATATACACTAGCGTCACTAGCCTGTTATGAACTGACAAGAATAGCATTGTTCTTAGGTTGTAACCTATTGGATTGGTGTCTGTAGGTACTCTTTGTATTTCATGCATGTGTGGTGTGGCGTTATATCAAAATATTAATTATGCTTGTATACTATAACACTGCTGTTTGATTGCGACTCATCCTTTTCGCCGGCATGCCAACTCCGAAAACGCATCCTTTATTAAAAAAAAAAAATATAGACCGCACCGCATAAGAAAGAAAAAATAAAAGTCATGTTGTTGTTAGGAAAAAAATAAAGGTGTCGGCTACAAAATAATCAATCAATAATTTATTTGCATAAACAATTATAAAAATGTTTTAGAATGTGCATGAGTAGTATGAGTGTACATCACTAGTTGTAGATTAGATCTGGCAACACTGAATTAGCCTATATTACCTAAGAACAAGGAATTACATAGAAGGAATGTTAAAAACTGTAATTCATATGGTTGCCTCCTTTCTTTTTATGTAAATATAATTGATAATAACTGATCGTGTATCTTTCGTCTTTTTTTTTTCTAATTATATTTGCAACGGAGGCAACCATATGATTTACAGTTTTTATCATTCCTTCTATGTAATGTAATCTCCCGTTCTTATCTCTTTACTGACGTCCATCATGGCGTGAGTACCCCAATCTTATTAAATAAAGGAGTTATAATTATAACGCTGTCATTTCTTTAAAATAAGACTCCCTGGTTTATCCCTAACCAATAAGTATAAAATACTGGGAAAGGGGACAGAGGGATTGTTAGGATATATTACTAATTGCTAGCAATATTAGATCACCTACGGTTGGAGGAAAGGTTTGAGGAAAAAAGGAAGGGATCGTTGGAAATGCGTAAAGGAAATTAGTAAAAGAGAGGAATAAGGGACTTAGGGACTAGTCACACTTATTCATCTCCATTTGCGTTTCGCTGAACGATTTTGGTCACACTTCTCTCAGCTCTGCTTTTATCAGCCGCGTACGGCGTCGTAAGAATGAGAAAAGCCGTCATAGCGTGCTATCTCCGCTGAAACGCTTGTCTACTGCGTACGGCGTTGAATATGCTGCATTTCGTAAAAATAAAATATTTATATTTACTATAAAATACGTCTGCACTCTTTAATCGTTGCGTACATAATGATTACGCAATAATAAATAAAATCAATGCAGAAACAATACAGGTCGCAACTTGTCGACAAGGAGTCGCGAAATATCCCTGTAAAGAGCTGTTTCGCCGCGTTCGACGGTGAATGCGGCGGAACAGCGCTGAACGCTCTCTATAGCATTCGCATGATAAACACACATTTATCCTCATTTTATACTGAGTTGCCGCGAAAGCAGAATAGACGCGTAGAGTCGAATGAATGCGTACACGTCTAAATACAAAATCGTTGTTTACTATGGACAAAAGTTGAATAAGTGTGAGTAGTCCCTTATGTGGGATTGTGTGGAACCGTAGGTAACGGAAACCACCAACAAAAGCATTCCCAAAGAGGGTTGACGTCAGGCAGGTGGCCGGTTGTAAAACTATAAGCCCAATCCTTTAGTAATATGGATAAAACCAGATTACGCCGACCCCAAATAATGATTGGAATAAGGGTTGTTTTGATGGGTGAAAATGGTATGGTATCCCCGCCTGCGCTAATGGGATACGCTGGCGGAGCACCAGTGAAGGGTGATAGATGAGAATGAAAACAGGCCAGTTAGCCCATCATGATGAATTCATCAGGAATTATCCATGATAGTTTCCAGGTGGAACCGCGAGGAGGTCGACCTGGTTGGGTATATTGCTAGCAATAGGATTCTCAGTTTCCAATACTAACAATCCCTTTCCCCCCTGGAATAAGGGTAGGAAGATGATGATTAGACCACTTACTACAGGTATAATAGATAGATACTCTTTATTGTTTCCACCATAAGATTACAATAGAAAACTTATCATACAAACAATTATAAGAAATAATAACAATGATAAAACAATGGGCGGCCTTATCGCTAAGAGCGATCTCTTCCAGGCTTTACTGGCATTTAGCAATATACAGTATATTGCTTAAAGTCAATTCTTTATTAACCAATGTAACAGTTTTCGTCACACAATGGCCAGTCAATATTTACATTCTAATTTTGAAATTAATAAAATAAATAATAAGAATAATAATAACATTTAAATTACAAAATAAAAATAAAATGACAAATGAATTATAGTTAACATTATAAATTAGTTACTACATGTCAATATAATGGTAACTATATACCAATAATGATGACTTCAAGTTATAAAATTTTTATTGTCACACTTCTTACAGTTAAACCTAAATAAATAATAATGCTATAATTCAATATTGGCATTTAGGTATTCGGTCACGTTGCAAAAATCCATTCTGATTTTCTGGAAACTATCGCGTTTAATTCCTGGTGAATTTGCAATGACGGCATGGCGCTCAGCTAGCGTATACATTTAACGCAGGGGTTACCATTTCATTATCAGATAATAATTGTAAATAGACAATAAGTGTCTTCACAAAAAAAAAACACTTAAATTGTGACAAAACCAGTTATTTTAATCTAGAAACTAAACTACTAAATCGCTCTTTATAAAATTTCTATAAAACCAATATGTATTTCCTTTCAGATAAAAGAAAAATATTGTAAATCGGCAGTCAGTTTCCTTGACACTCGCCGTTATCTTTCGTACACTATAGGGAAGGTACATACTCGTACATACATGTCACGTCTCCCTGTCTTCCATTAGAATAAGCAGAAACAATGGAACGCCAAATGCTTCGATTCAAACAACCCTCTTTTTTTTATACAACTTAGAATGGCAAACAAGCTGACGGCCCACCTGATGTAAAGTGGTAACCGTCGCCTATAGACATGAGCAGTACCGTAGACATAACAGAGTATACTGTTTCGCCCATGATACCCCCATGCGTTGCCATTCCTGAGGACTCAGATGTTATTCCTCTGTACCCAGTAAATTTATGCCATATTCCACCCTTCAAAAACACAGCCATGCAAACACAACTGCTTCACGGTTGAAACACGAATGGGACAGAGGTACTCAAGCAATCGATTTTTGTACAAAGTCTCCCTCTTTCGTTTCTCCCACAGTCTAATCTTTTCATACACGCTCGCCGGTTACGGGTACTTTTAATTTGGCTCTTCTTCAGCACGTCGCCTTTTTATTCAAACATACGTCCGTCTAGTGCGGCCCCTACCGACATCTCCATTTATTCGTGCTCAATAAATCTACTTCGTAACTCTTCTTCCATCCATCCTCTCCAAATGGCCAAACCAACGCAACATTCCCTTTTCGATTTTTGTCACTACACCGTGTTTCAGTCTACACTTCTCTCTAATCACACTGTTTCTTACTCTATCTTTTAATGTAATACCACACATACTTCTCAGAGCTTTCATTTTACTACGTAGGGAAGGTTTCCATTCCATTTAAATGCCATTAAAAATCCTATATTATTTTCAGTCAAGTAATTTTTTTTATAAACTACTATTTAGGTACTTCTATTGTTTACTTCCATAAGTTTTAAACCCAACACCATTTTCGACGTCATTCCATAGGTTTTTTGTCCAACTTATTAAGATGGATTCCAAATTCCACCAAATATAAATCCACAATCTCCAATATCAATAGTTAATACCTTATAAAGATAAAAGAAAATTCTTCAAGTTAATAATTATAATTATTATCATACCTATAATCGTCACGATATTCAGTATCATCCTCTTCATCATCATCCCAACTATATTCAGTATCATCCTCTTCATCATCATCATCCCGAGTATATTCAGTATCATCCTCTTCATCATCATCATCCCGAGTATATTCAGTACCATCCTCCTCATCATCATCCCAACTATATTCAGTACCATCCTCTTCATCATATTCATCGTCTGATGAATAAATATTATTTTCAGATAAATCGTTAAACATTCTTTTCATTATCATTACCTTAATACTTTCTGCATGATTTTTACCATTAATATGTTCCAATTCGTTCTTATTAGGAACATAAACATGACAAATATCACAATAATATTTCTTTTTGTTCCTCGTCTTCCTCATTTTGTTGAACGCAAGAGTTGTTTTAAACTTTTGTAAATGAATCATGCTACTAATATGATTATTGATCACTGTACAAGTGATGCTTTTATCACAAACTTTACAGATGACTATCTTGGGGTCACTACTGTAGCACATATGGTAATGAAGAGGTTCTGGATTTTGTTTCAAACTGCAAATGTACCTATCTATATGATCTTCGTCCATTAGAACATGATCAATAACTTTTACCGCCTTCACAAATCGACGACAAAGCTCGCAAAATACACGCTTGCCAATATTTTTAATCATATTGTCTTCGAGTAGATTGGAGTAATTGATCGTGTGGTTGTTACCTTCAACGTGTTCACTGACACAATGATCTTTACTAGAAATTACTACTTCACAGACACGGCATTCCAGTTTGTTACCATTTTTTTTTTCCATATGGGGATGGATTTTAGGTTTTTCTATTTTGTAACGATGATTCACATCATTTATATGGTCTAAGTCATCCGTATTATACATTGTGAGATTGCAAACATGGCAATATAACGTATCATTTATCATTTTCATTTTATTTATTAATAAAAGATTATCGTATTCTGTTTCATGCCTTACACCATACGAGTGTTCATCTCTGTTATTAATTGTATTTGGCACTTTTACATTGCATATGTTGCAAATTACAATGCATTCGTCAGCAGTATTTTCGTAATGGTGATTCATGTTGTACTTCCTTCAATGTCCGGATTGGTCACTACGCATAATAGATTTATATATGGGATTATGTAAGAAGAAATAATTCTATTTGGAGATCTGAAAAAGAAAAACAAGTATAGTTAATTTTAAACTATATTGCGTTGTTAACATATGTATATTTTAAATACACTATCGGAACTTAATTGCCAAGGGAAAATTTTTGTTGATAAACACGGCGTATGTCGATACGCCAGAAGCAGGTAAGTAGGTATTATTTACGTGGAAAACATTTTCCATCGCGTCAAGTCCGGATAGTGTATTTAAAATTAAGAAGTATGTTAATATATATATATATATATATATTGATAGCAATGGAACTGATAGTTCGCATTACTAACAGTTCAAATTAAATTTTCCAAATCAGTTTATAACCGACGGAGTTGTGATGTTACAAATATATAGATTAATTACTAGATTGTGGAATTCTCTTCCGTGGGAAGATACTCGTAGATCTAAAGATACCAGAGGCGCGTTGCCGACCCTGAAGAAACCTCTTTACCCCCCTTTTGAAGAACCCCATGCTGTAGTCTTTTAGGAAAACCTCGGCAGGGAGCTCATTCCACAACCTGAGTGTTCGTGGGAGGAAACATCTCTGAAACCACGCAGTACGCGACCATTGAGGCTGTAGGACATGAGGATACACGTACCCAGTAAATTCACGCCATATCCCACCCTTCAAACCGAAACACAGCCATGCAAACACAACTGCTTCACGGTTGAAACACGAATGGGACAGAGGTACCCAAGCAATCGACTTTTGTACAAACTCTCCCTCAACATTAACAGTTGTTATTTTTTTTACCTATTCCAATAATGACGTACCGCGTTCGTGATTCACTCTTCACTGCAAAGGTTGACTGGTAGAGAATGCTACTGGCATTAAGTCCGCCTATTGTAACTTATTCGTATAATATTTTGGTCAATAAAGTTATTTAAATAAATAAAAAGGATGTACACAGTTTGATAATCTGACACGCACTACGAAAATGATAACGACTTCATATTGGACATATCACGTCAGAAATACATTTAGTCACGTACCTACATAGATAGCGTTTAGATACGTATTTAAAAAAGAATTATTACATACGTATTTAAAAAAGTATTTACAAAGAATTTATTAAGATTTATCTTTGTACCTATATATTATATTAATCCTCTGCATACTGGTGGAAATTTCCATCATAACACTGAATGCCCAAAAATTATAACTTATATACATATATACTTTAACTTGATCGTGTCTGGATACCTTTTTAATGTCCATTGCAGAAAAAAAAAACATAGCTGTCCAATTTATTTCTTTAACCATTTTGCCTTTAATTTTGAACACGAATTATATCACCTTGATTTATTTTTTTTATTCACCAATAAAAAAAAAATCACGCAAAGAAGGGTTAACTAGTTTTTGACCGTGACTTCGTGCGCGTCCACTTTACTAGTCGAAAAACCAATGTAATAAAAAACTTTTCAGATGGGCCTTCAAGGTAAAATATAGGCGATTGTAAGTAATATTGTAAAGAACAATTCTGTGAAAATTGTATTCAATTTGGTGTAATAGTTTTCGCGTGATATCAGAATAAATATAAATATGTACAGACAAAATTAAAAAAAAAAAATTATAGTTTCTATTAACTAGGTGTCATGTCGTACCTATAGGGAGGTCGAATATATAGCCTGAGATAGAGGTGGCTGGAAGAGAATGCATGAATTAGTTGCACCGACAGGAGGAAACTCTTAAATGAAAGGGGAAAAACAAGTTTCCATTGTTTTTATTATAACTTTTTGATATTTTTTTGCCGGTGTATACCAATAGTGCAGGCGGGGTTACAGTTACAATGCCATTTTCACCCATTAAAAAACATATTAGTATATTAATTAATTATACATATTAATTATACATTAAACATTTAGTGCTAGCTAATTACAGTTATATACAGGGTAATATATAGAAACTGGGGGGAAAGGGATTGTTAGTAATGGAGACTGAGAATCCCATTGTTAGCAATATACCCCACCAGGTCCACCTCCTCGCGATTCTCCCTGGAAACTATCATGGTTAATTCCTGATGAATTCATCATGATGGGCTAACTGGCCTGTTTTCATTCTCATCTGTCACCCTTCACCGGTGCTCCGCCAGCGTATCCCGTTAGCGCAGGTGGGGTTACCATACCATTTTCACCCATCAAAAAGAATATATATATATTCTTTTTGATAGGTGAAAAATGGTAATATATATGGTAATATATATATATATATATATATATATATATATATATATATATATATATATATATATATAGAAACTAACAAGCGAACAAGATTAGGTATATTACATACTTACCTCACTCCGTTGTAGATATTTATCAAAATATTTCAAAGTGAAACAAACGTGACTGTATATGTATGTAAATAAAAACTTCGTATAAATGAATTGAATGTTATAAGCACGAAAATAAAAGACGCAGGTTACGATAAAAGTAATTCGTAGTAAATAGATTGATTATGACGCAGTATGTACTCTTTTACTGGTTAGTTAAAAACCTAACTCTTTGGGCAGTGTTGCTAGATCTTTATTTCATTTTACCCAATACATAGTCATGGTTTTCCCTACTGTTCGCATTAATTCGTTGAAAATAACCTAAAAATTATAATGTGCAATGGGGAAAACAGATGTTTTTTACAATACAGGGGGCAAACTAGCATGCGGCTCACCTGATGGTAAATGACTACCGCCGCCCATGATCACCCGCAACACCAGCGGCATTGTAGGTGTACTGCTGGCCTTTTAAAAAGGAATATGCTCTTTTCTTGAAGGTTATTATGTCGTATCGGTTCGGAAATACTGCTGCTGGAAGTTTTATTTTATTTTTATTTTATCTTTATTTGGTCTCCTAGCAATTGTTAAACTGATAAGATTTAATATTAAAATTACTGTCTATTTAGTTTCTTCTTCTTCTTCTTTTTTAAAATATGGCTTCCACCGTAGAAGCAACGGTGATTTTCTGCCAATGTCAGGGTTAGAGAAGACTCCGTGAATTTTATATTATGACATTTTTCAGTAATGATCGTTCAGTTGAGTTCTCTGGAAAGGAGGACAACACAAAATATGTTATATACATGCAAAGGAAAAATAAATTTAATATGATATGTGTGTATGAGTGTATTATAGCAAAGACAATACGCGGAAGGAATGAAAAGACGAGAAGTGTAAAGAGTGACATATACTTATATTTTAAATTTTTATATTATTAGTACATATAAATTTGGCCAGTACCTTAACCAAAGGAGAGTGGACTAAGGTAAGAAGGAATGGAATATTTACAGGACGTGGAAAGGTACGAGGCAACAGGTCATAGAGGGGAAGGGTCAATTTGGGGCATTCAAAAAATAGGTGCTCTAACGTTCCTTCCGCTAAGCCACATTCGCACAGAGAGTGATCTTGGATTCGGATTTTGTATAAAAATACGGGTGTGCAGACATGTCCCAAACGTAGGCGGCATATAACTGATGTAACCCACTTATCTAAGTTTCGTTGAGTAGCAAACCATGGTTTTATAGGGATGAAGGGCTGGATATTACCATAATACTTGCCTTTAGATTGTCTAGTTTTTTGCCACAAGTTATCCCAAGCCTCTAACATGTGTGGATTAGCCTGACAACGTAGATCTCGAGTGAAATAAAAATTGTAATTATTACCATGTTGGATAGCATTTTTGGCCCAAGAGTCTACTGTTTCATTCCCAATAATTCCTGAATGACTAGGAATCCACGCAATGGTAACATTAATACCGGACTTATAGCACCTATGTAAAATTTGTTTAGTTTGCAAAGTTATGTAAAAGTTTTCTTTGGATTTAAAAGGTAGTTTTAAAATATCTTGTAAACAGCTTAGGGAGTCCGAAAGAATGAGGGTTTTGTTTAATTTATGTGTTTCTACATAGGACACTGCTTCCATAATAGCTATGGATTCACCAGTAAATGTTGAGGATGAAGGAGAACATTTGAAGTTGAGGACAACGTTATATTTTGGGATCCATACAGCGGCTCCAACATGATCTGATTTGTCAGTTTTAGAAGCATCTGTAAACATCAGAAGCCAGTCGTGCCATGTTTCCGCGACAATAGCGTTAAACTTTTGATTAGCAAAAGGTGAATGTTTTACTAATCCAAAATCTAGAATTACATTAGGACGATAAATTAGAGAATCATAATCAAATTCGAAAAGAGGGTTACGGTCTATTTTTTTAATAAGTGAGATCGGGTTTTTGTACTTGGTAAAGCTCTTAAGGATGGGAGGGGGTTCTTTATGGGTCCAGTAACTTGATAGGCTTATTTGTTCTGAGAGAGACTCTAAGATAGGAAGGAGAGGATGGGAGTTATATTGGGCAATATTGAGGTAAAAGCGGTCTGAGAGATATTGTCTACGTAGATGGAGAGGGGGATCTAGACATTCGACTTGCAGAGCGTTTGCTGGAGATGACTTCATTGCACCAATAATTATACGTAAGCACCTAGTTTGAACTCTGTCAAATTTAGCTAGAGCAATTTTGTTGCAAGGTTCTAACAGAAATGAGCCATAGTCTAAGTGACTTCGGATAATAGCATTATATAAGAGTTTTTGGCTATATGGATGAGAACCCCAACGTACACCAGAAAGGGCTTTTAAGATATTAATACTACTTTCGCATTTATTTACTACGTAGCTTAAATGATGCAGGCCTGTTAATTTTGAGTCCAGGATAACACCCAAAAATTTTACTTTATCTTGTACTAAGATAGGTTCATTATTTAGAGAGAGTTCAATAACGGGGATTTGTCTCTTGCGGCTAAAAACGACCGCTGAGCACTTTGGTATAGAAAGTGTTAGCCCATGATCATCTAGCCACTGATTGAGGTAATATAACGCGGAATTTAGGCGGGAAGAGGAGTCAGAAAAGGAATCTGAGGCGATATACATAGCAATGTCATCCGCATATTGTAGGATTTTGCAGAAACAAGTAACAGAGGATTCAAGGTCAGATGTATAGATATTATATAAAAGGGGACTAAGGACAGAGCCCTGTGGGAGACCTTTCCAGACCAGTCTTGAAGGAAAAAGAGAGCCATTAACACGCAAGGAAATCGATCTAGCCATTAAGAGATTACATATGATAGTAGTCAGTCTCACAGGAATACTCAGATTTTGCAGCTTTTGCCTGAGTATTGGAAGCTGGACATTGTCATACGCAGACGAGATATCAAGGAAAATTCCTATGAGGTGATCATTGCAGGAGAAAGCAAGGCGTATTTCCGAAATAAGGACACTAAGGCTATCTGTAGTACCCATGCCACGTCTAAATCCAAATTGTAATTTGGATAATAAACCTTTACTTTCTAAAATCCATTCAAGTCTATGTTTAATGAGAATTTCTAGAATTTTTGCCAAGGCCGAAGATAGGGCAATCGGTCTGTAAGAATTTGGATCGTTAGGATCTTTTTGGGGTTTTAAGATGGGAACTATAATTTGGGATTTCCAAGATTCAGGTACTATTCCAGATAAGAAGACACAATTAATAATATCCAGAAAGTATTTTTTACCTGACATGGGTAGATTACATATAAAAGAATATGGGATGCCGTCAATTCCTGGAGAGGAGTCATGGAGATGATCAAGGGCACAAATCAATTCTGGTAACGAGAATGGTTCATCCATTCTGTCACCACTAGAAGTTGGAGGAGTTGCATAAGGAAGGGAATCTTCTGAGGGGACAAAAGGTGGAGCAAGCCTATCAAAAAAAGCATCTACCCATAACGAGGGATCATTCGATGTTAAATTATGATTAATAGTTCCATTGCGAAATGAATTGATTTTATTCCATACAAGAGAGGGGAGGCTCTTGGAGATAAGGATTCACAAAACCTATGCCATCCTGAAGATTTTTTCTTGGAGAGTAGTCTCTTTGTGCGAGCAGCTATCTTACGATAGGAGAGGTAATTATCCATCGTCAAGTTTGATAAATAAGTTCTTTCAGCCTCTTTTCGCAGCTTGACACTATTTGTACACTCAGAGTCCCAC